TATCCCCTATGTTCATGTGGCTCTGTGTCTGGAATCAAACTGTCAACTCTCAGAACGGTATATTAAAGGTACGAAATATTCCCCTATGATAAAGCTTATTTCATTTTTTTTTTTATTCGTGGCTTGAAATCGAAATACTTATCTGGTCATATTATCAGATAAAAAGTGTTACAAATAATTGAATATTCAAGTAAAATATAACGAGTACAATAGCGTCAAACAGGAGCAAAATAAAATCAAAGGTGTTGAATAATGTATTTGACAGGAACATGGCCAAAATTCTTTTAAAAACTTAATATCTAAGATTAATTTAATTTCAAGAAATTTCATTTTATTTGCCTTATAGTAGTAATGTGTACCTAAGGTGTTTAGTAGTTTCCGCACAACCACTGTTGACAGCCATTGTCTTTTCAATAAGAAGTCTGCAAACCAGCTTCCGACAACACTTGCGAATATGTTGAACAGGTTCGGCAACGCCATCAGGACACCATCCTGTAAGAATTGATAATTGATATTCTGTAGCGGACGAAGTGACACTTGAATCATATATATTTCGCGCGGTCTTGAAAATCAGTTTTAAGGAAATTGATACAGTAAGGGTGGTCGGGTGGTGCAGTGGATAGCGCACTTGCCTTTCACCAAGGCGGCCTGGGTTCGATTCCTCGGACGTGAATAGGTTGGAGTCACCTGCTCGACCACGTGGGTTTTCCCCGTGTGCTACGGTTTCCTCCCTCACCAAGACCCCCCACGCGCAAACATCCGGGCAAACAAGAGTGATTAATATAAGTTGAAATAACTTGTTTCATAATTGTTGTAAAATAAATAAAGTTTATATCTTTTAATTGATTTACTAGTTTATTCCACTATATTATAAAGGGCGAAAGATTTAAGAGGTGTTCCGAATTTTATTACTGGTACATATTGTGTACATCAGGTAATAATCATGCTTACAGTGTTTTTTAAGTATTATTGTCAGGGAGATATTCGTACAGATTTGAGTTTGCGCAAATACACCAATAACAACAAGATCCTTGGTGCATAGTGTCTGAGGAGATAATTGTGGGATATTTGTTTTCGCCATCCCATCTTGTCGTGAATTTACCAGACAGTTAAGACGGCGCGAAATATAAATGATTCAAGTGCCACTTTGTCAGCTACAGAATCATATTACCCTGAATTTTTTATTGTTAAATAATTTTTTAATTTAATTATTATTGAAAAGGGTTTTACTATAACATTTAGACAATACAAAAAGCCAAAAATAAGATACTCCTTTTACAATGATAATAATTGTATACACATTATACTTTTAATAGATATGTATGGCTGCATTGGTTAAAATAGTATTTTGACATTATTTAATATAATTCTTTTGAGAGTCTTTACAGCAATTAAAATTTAAAACAAAATAAATCGAAACTGGCATACATTGTCATGAAGCTGTGATATGATACATAACCCCACAGTACCTTGCATTCTTTCTTTAGTATATATTTTAACACAGTCTTAAGATTATCATTAATCAATACCTGCATATTATTTTAGTTCTCTATACCACACTCCGTGGATATCCTATAACTTACGGTACAATGTAGCGGTAAAATCAACCAAAATACATACATGAATGGAGCAGTTACCACAGTATTTCTCGTGATTCTCCAGTCGAACTTAGCGAATGTGTGTTCAGTATTAATATAGACTTAACAATGACATGATCATTGAAGTGACATTGTCGTTTTTGGTTTGTATTTTGGACTAGATAACTAATTAAGTTGGCTTATTAACGCGTGTGTTTGTACTCGACTTGTCAAAATCCAATACACATCAAACTGTCATATCCATTTCGCAAAGCTTTACAGTACTCTTATTATTATATTAAAGAAATATTTTTAGGACAAAGAATTAATACCAAAGATGAATTCCCAAAAATACTGGATACTTGTAGTATACAAATCACTGTAAATTGGTAAATGGGACAATGAAGTAATTCAAACAGTGTAGACAATAAGAGGTAATCTAAACTGCTGGAATTGCTTCCCTTTCTGTCAAACAAATACACACCTGTGCGATATCAAATTTTTGTATGGTGTGCATGTATCTTGGCAATGTTGTATGTGTGACGTAACCACCCCATGTTTGCAGGAAAGCTGTCAGAATGATGGCCCACATTGCTGATGACGTCAGAAGAGCCGTCCAAGGAGTTGGATAGCGCTGAAAGAGGTGAAAAGGTGCAATACGTTTGATAGGCCAATGATATATTAAACATGTGTACTTCAATTAAACGACATTGCACGATACGATTATAATGCCTCTTCGGTGTGTTATGTCTTTAACAATATATAAGTGAAAATGTTATATTTCAAAACGAAGCCCATTCTTTAAAGTGGTTTTTAAGTAATAACATATAGCAAATATACTGTATACAGGGAAATATTTGCCAAAGTTTAACTTTCGCCTATTATCATTACAGCAAAATATTATTACACAGCATACCGTATAGTTATGACATATGAAGGGCGAAATTAACACTTGGCGAAAATGGATTTAACCATTAAATATTTGACTGGGCAAGGTTTCCCAGTGTACAGTATATTGAAACATATATTGCTTAGTTTTTGTTCTATAAGGTTTGTAATAAGTTGTTTCGAAACGTTTCGACGGATCAGCAACACATATAAATATCATATACGTTTACCATGTAATAAACGTAATAAACATGCCGTAATTACAGATCCTGCGTTCTTATTGTTAAGATGAAAAGTTTGGAAAATTAACCAATCATTGTCTCCTAATCTTCCAAATATCTCTGATTGTGTATTTGTAAATCCCCCTCTCCCATGTGTAATAAAATCAGTAATATTCTTGATTTGATGTCCGCACTCCGCAGTTTAGTCTAGCGTATCATGGTGGAATAATACCTTGCGACGTCGGACGCCTGTTGTGCTTTCGATGTACTGCTTCTCATCCGGCGCAATGCGTGGATGTACTGCAGGAGATTCAAATACCATATGATGCCAGAAGAAGAACCATATGCATGCAGCTCCACCTTTGGTAAGAACATATAACAGAAACCGGATTAAATTTTTAACAGCCATTGTGATGTTTAAAGGACAACATTTAGTTTGTTGTTTATTTCAAAATCAATTAATTTAAAAAATTACTCAATACAAAAAATGTCATTCGTAATATAGCAACAATATTTATATTTACACGGAAATTAAAAAAGAACGTCAACAAAACGTAGGCGTAGTTTTAGACGGCAAGCTTCATTAGGATGATGTTTTCAGTTACTTGAACGGAAAAGCAACTGTAATAATATACAATGTCATACAACATTTGATATAGCGCCCTATCTAGTTAACATAGCCACTCGAAAGCGCTTTACAGTGTATAGATATACAATTAATACAATAAGCATATACATAAATCGATACAATTTTGAGGAATTCGCAGAAGCTGCCTTATCAGGCGCTAGCTACTAGCCCTATGCATTCATCTAATATACAAAATAATATGTAAACCAGTTACCAGCGTATTTAGAACAATATAACTGTTTACCAAATATATAGAATCCAGAGGGCCATCCCCCAAGTATATCAGAATAGCTTAGATATCCCGCTATAGGTAAGCAGATCACGTTACCGAAATGAGCACCTGAAACAATAAGACACTTGCTTTGTTAATACTAAGTATTGCAACTGCCATGAAAAAGGTTGTCACAAACCGTCATGCATGCATGGTTTAATTTACAAAACTGTCTTACGTTGAAACTATCTTTAAGCATTGGAAAGTAAACTCTCGTTTTCATCGAACCAGTTTTATTAAACTGATTTTCAATTATTTACTCTAAGTTTAGCCTGCCTCGTTAAACTGCATTTTGTTTATCAGAGATAAATGTTCTGTTTAAAAGTGTTTGAGTTTAAAAAACATAATTACAAAAAATGTATTTATGGTATTTTTGTTACAGTCTTATTATTACTAAATATGTATGCATTAACTCAGGTTTGTATATGGCAAAGCGACGAAATATAATTTAACATATCAAGAATTGATAAACCATTATGATCTTCAAATATCATGAAAATGAAAATATCTCAATATATTATATGCAATGCTGTTTTATAAGTTAACAAGGGCGTCTGATGGTGTTAATTACGTTTTACTTCAGACTGAATAAAATTGCAATATATGACGAAATAATATAAACGGTCACACGAAGCACTGTTTGATGGCAATGACGACTGAACTGTCAATTCTTTAAAATGTTTCTTTTAAATCAGAAATATGATTAAAATATTCATTATGTTGCCATAAGTTCGAGAAAGCAATCGTTGATAAATAGTTGTGTGCTATAAACTAATGAGCTACTAGGCTATAAGATTGTTACCGACAACATCAATTTACCTGCGTTGGCTATGTTTGATAGTAATGATCTCTCTAATCTTGGCAGCCATTTCCCTTGCATTGACGAGAGAGCAGGTATGGTAACACCCTGTTAATAATTGATATTTGCGTATATTTCTGTCAGCGCCGAAGGTGTATCATTCTGTAGTCGGTAATGTTATATTTGTGTTTAATGCTGGGATGAGCTTATCAATTACTTGCATAACATTATTGGTAAATGTTTCGTTCCATGTGACAGGACTTTAAATATATTCTTAACTTGCATTTTGAAAACATGTTTTCTTTATGAAATTATGTAATTTGAAAAAACAATCTACAGTAATAATTGCATCGCAGAGTAATTTTGCATTTTGCAGTATAAATATATTGCAATTAAATACGGCAACCGTCTGTGAGCAGTTTTATCCAACTTTACCATTATGACATCCAAATGTATTAACGTTAAAGCAAATTTATTCTATTTGAATTTCTATTGTAGAATTTCGCAATTTGTAATTGCTATGTAACACAAAACAAGGATATTGTCGACACATACAAAGTTTGTTTTTTCGATAGCGTTTGACTATTTAAATTTCGTGTACAACATATAGTTATCACTAGATATACGAAAAGCTTACCTCAGCGCGGCCCATCATTACCCGTACGATCACCACTGCCCAAGTACCGGCCTTAGCAGATACTGGTGTCAGAAGACTTAGAATGGCGGTTATGAGAATGCCATATCCGAACAACCTCTTCCCTCCGATTTTCTCTGCCAGGAATCCCCCAGGTATTTGTGTGAGGGCATACCCGTAGAAGAAAGAGCTCAGTATCAACCCTTGGGTAGCCTCATCCCAATCATAGGTAGCCTAAAATGATAGTCCGTTGAAAGACATTGTTTTATGGTAGTAGTGACCTGAACGTGCAACGTAGACACATTTCAAATTGCACTACCCTGTAATGTGAGGGTACCTAAAAAAGAACACTTTTTATTTCACTATAATGTAACAAAGGATGCATTTAACTTTTTATTTTATGTATTACTTGGTATCACCAGGGTTAACCTTTGTAGGCTCGGGGAAAGAATCTACTGTATCCCACTGCATGACTGTACGAGGTGACAAATGTCGGGCAGCTTCTTATCAGAGGACATTGAAGAAATCAATAATAGACCCAATCTGATTAAAATCATATGATACATGGCTTCGTTGATTTCGTACTACACTTGAACACCTGAGTGTGCCGTGGTCAGGGTCACGTTCAGGTGACCTTTATATTTATAAATACTCATTAAATTTTGACCAACCATAGACCCTCTTTCAAAAGGGCGTCCGGAGTTGCAACAAATATGGCGGACATTGATGAGAATGATGCGAAAGTTCTGAAGTTATTTGAGATTGATCGTCTGAAACCCGAACAGAAAAAGATATTCGAAGCTTTATTAGAGAAGAAAGACTGTATGGCGGTGTTGCCTACGCAATAATTACCCAATGGGTACGTTTTCCTGGGCGTCGTAGAAACGTCAGTTCCCGCCGCCATATTTGTTTTGGACTAATCTGTTCGATACCCCCTCGTTATTTATCTATCAACCATCATAAACCGATACGCTGGCAATCTTTTGCCAGCGCGCCTCTGATTGGTTCATCTAAAGGTCACTTGAACGTGACCCTGACCGCGGCACAGTCAGATGTTCAGGCGGAGCCATGTAACAGATGATTTAATCAGATTGTAATAGATCTGCCGTATCCCACTACATGTGCATCGAAGAAGGCGACTAATGTCGGCCCCCTGCAGAATCAGGGGTTTCCTTTGTTTCCATGAAGGAACATGGAAGAGACCAAAATTGATCTGCTGCCCCCATTGCAACATGTTTTCGTTTCATAATTTTCCTGTCTTTTTTCGTTTCTATCTGTTTTCTGTTTCCATGGGTGGTCGGGTGGTACAGTGCATAGCGCACTTGCCTTTCACAAAGACGGCCGGGGTTCGATTCCCCGATCGGACGTGAAAAGGTTTGGGTCACCTTCCCGACCACATGGGTTGTGACCAGGAACGCCGGTTTCCTCCAACACTAAGACCTCCAATGCGCTTGCATCCGGACTAACAAGAGTGATTCATATAAACATATGTTTCAGGCGGTTTCTGCCCGGGCGCTCGGCCTATATTGCCCTGGATGTTGCGAGGACTTAAACTTCAAACAAAAAACAAAAGCTCACCAGAACGTGTGTCTATTAATTAACCTCATTTAGTTGATTAATATTCACTTGGAAATTTCATCTTGCCGGGTAACCAAAATGAGCATTTTATCATTTAATTAGATCGATGAAAATATCTTTTTTCATTTCATGATATCTTTTACATTTTTGATACGTTTTAGATTTTTTTTCATTTGAAAATTCATTTAAAAAAAAGGAAATTTGATACTATTTTCACGTTGTCGAAGCGTGCTGTTTCTCGGGATTAACTTTCTTACTTTTTTTAAAGATTTAAATTGTGTTTATCAGCAAAATACCTGAGGTATGCAGGCAACACTTGCTGAAATTGTTTAAAACGATATGAATTTTGTTGTTTCAGAATAGATACTCTTAATTAGAATTTCACAATAAAAATGCTGCATCATAAATATGAAATGTGTACTATATAGGGTTCCCTCACGTTATAGCATATCGATTTGAAGTACATTTATTCTCTTTAAATTTATAATGCAGAATTTTGAAATTTGTAAATGCTTTGCAAAATACAACAAATCCTACGATAGCATTTACAATGACAAATCGTAATGTACTTCTACCATTGCACTTATTCATCATATTAAACAACCAATTGAAAATCCAACAAAGAAAAACAATGATCTCCTAGGATACCTGTCTTGTCGGCGAAAAGCGACGCACATACAATTCGGAAACGCCTTTGGTACACATCACTATATAACAAATACATTGTATTACTAACCTGATTCGACATTTTCGTTGTCTTGTTGTATCCAGGGTCCGGACATTCGGTTATTTCAGTGAAATTGTTTGCTGGAAGAGTGTCTTTATGTTTAACCATAGCTACTATGGCGATAGTGATGTTGAACCGCAACGCATATAGATGGAAGTATCCAATGAAAGACAGAATCGTGAAGGTATGACGGGTGCCATATCCTGAAAAGGAAGCAAATATATACAACTCAGTTCAAAATTTATTTTTTGAGTTTTATTTAAAATTCCAAAATATACAAAGTAAATTATTTTCCAGTCCGGCACCGTATTTGGGATTTAAATTTTCTGCCGTACAACCTTATTTTTTAAAATTGTAATAATTTTTAATAGTTGTGTTGCATTAACACTGTAGAACATATTTGTTCTTTTAAATAGACTCCGTTGGATATTTTGTCTTACGTGTGCGGCAGATTTTAATTTACGGTCGCCTTCTAGCTTCGAGTTAGAACGAATTTCATTACTCTTACTGATATTACATATTTTTGCATGTTTTGAATGTGACAACAAAAATTTGGAGATCGAGGGTCGATCCAAAGTGGAAGCACACTCTTCTCTTTCCTGTAACACATGTTTACGTTGTGATATACTTGATGTTTAGTGTTTATATTTTGTTGTAGCTTTTTCCCTTGTGTTAGCGTTGTCGTACTTACTTTTTCATTTGTATTGACACCGTAATACATTGTGTTATTGTGTGCCGACACTATGGTATATTTTGCTCTTAGATATGAGGCTTACTTCATTGATAAGTTAAACATGGAAATGTAACAAAAACCTAGACAAATCATCAATTTCAAAGGCAGATATATCGATGATATGCTATCGTAAAATACCTGTATAAAACAAATATTGACCTTATCGGTCGTATAAACTTGTATATCCCGTCCGGAGCTTGAAAACAAGGACACTACAGACTCTTATACTTTAGCAGTTTTCCTCCATCTTTTAATTGAAATCACCAACAAAAACAACCATCCATGATCAAATCATTATGCCTACACGTTTTATCCGTGAGACCTATAAAGGGATCAAACGCTTGACGTGGATAGCCATTTGTGACAGCGAATAGGCATTTCCGTTTAGACCTTATGGATCTTTATAAGAAGTTTTATTTTTAACATTTTTGACTCCCAGTCACCTTTACCGTGGATAAAGGTTATTCCTTTGACCAAAGATGGTGGTGCTCTACCTAATTTTGTATACTTTATTAGTTTTAAAAATTAGGTAATCAAATGATATTTATCTGACGCATGTGTAAGCTAATATGCAACAAATAAGGTATGAAGCAAATGTATTTTATCGGAAAATATTTCATTCCACCGTGAGATACAAATACTGACGTTTGTGGTGTGGTCATGAGTGTGCCGTGTTGTCTTGTTGCCATAACTTGGATTTGACCTAGATATCCGGAACATAAAGTCATACTCTCCTTATGCTTTTTCAGGAGTGTTTCAGTTAATACTTCCATTGCTCATCTTTTGCCCTTTGTTCATCTTGCCTATGTTGAACGTACTAGGTTGGTAGTACATGTACTTTGTATTTCTGACATGATAAAAACTATATTTTGTATCAAAAAAATGACATATCTATGATAATTGGCTTTTATAATTATATTTGCATAATTAGGTAGCAGGTGTTTACCTGCTAATATATTTACTCTCACTTAGATTGGAATCGAATCATAAATTAAAAACATCTACTGTGTAAATCGAGACTTATATTAATTTTACAAGACAAGATACTGTTTTATTAACATTTCAAATTAAATGTTTATCATCTAATTGAAACCTCACTACAGAAATAAATGAATAAATTGTTAATAGTTTAAGCATTACAGAGTTTCAGCAAATATATATAAACATATCCATTAAAGTCATGGCAATGTTTACTATCGACGGCATGTTACACCTGTGTATTCATTTGCATCACTATCTAAATGTCTTTATGAATTCGTTTATATACATACAAGTAGTCCTAATTATTCTGACGTTTTATCGACCTTTTTTTATATCGGTCTGTCGTCGATTAACGTCAGAACTCCGGCCGTCCATAATATGTGGGAAATAAGCGACCCGCGCCTGGGTCGCTCTTCAAACTGATATTTGAGAAACAAATCGTCACTTTCACACACATGTCGCACATGGATCGAAAGATCTATTCATTATGCATAAGATGAACATAAATTACATGCCTCAAACAACCAATACAATAACTTAAATATATTTTTTCAAACTTACTCTGTTTTACTTTACGTTTTAGATAGCCCCGCCTTCTAATGCCACGTGACTAAAATATCGACGGCCTACGTCATAACGTTGGGAAATACCTTCGGTAACGCGAGATCTCTTCAAGTCATGTGACATTGATCATGCCCTAATTTCCATTAAAAACATGGGTTGGTATAGAAAACGTTGGAAAATACTGTTCGTAATGATCTTTGAAACATGTTATTGATACCACCTAGTGCATAAAGAATAGATCTTTCGATCCATGTGCCACATGTGTGTGAAAGTGACGATTTGTTTCTAAAATATCAGTTTAAAGGACGACCCAGGCGCTGGTCGCTTAATTATTTCCCACATTTTATAGAGGGCCGGAGTTCTGACGTTAATCGACGACAGACCGATATAAATAAAGTCGATAAAACGTCAGAATAATTCGGACTAACATTCAAGCAACAGAATATCTGATGTCACCTTCTGTACTCGGCGTTGTTAAATACAATATCTAGCAACACCTCGATGACTGTGCAGATCTATACACACATGATACATACTGTCGGTCGTAAAAAATAAATTGGCCCTGACTTGGTCATCAGTTTTGAAAAAAATATGCAGTGTTTTAAAAATTCAAATCTTGTACAAAGTAAAAACTACTTTCTACAGTTCAAGATGGAGATACAATGATACTTCTAGTAATACACATGTAGATGTAATGTCAAAACACCTTTTTGGATATTCAAATGGAAACCGAAGTGATCAGATTTTTTAACTTGTAAAATCAGTCTGCAAACAATAGATATCTAGCTTTTGATATTTTTCGGGTGCATGTATGCTTTTAAAATTGATCCTAATTAGTTAAAATTAAAATATTAAACAATCACAATGGATCGAAGCGAGATTTGAAGTGATTTAACTCAGTAGAGTACAACATTACCCTGATGCCTCTTTCAACTTATCGAAAGGCACGGTCACTCCTGTAAGACATCCTGGCTACACTTAATGTTCCATCTGTCATAACTAATTGAGAATCGCCGACACTATAGTGAGATAGCCTGGCCATCGTGTCAACCCTTATAACTTATAGAAAGGCGTCGTCACCATAGCAATACATTATGACTACACTAAACGTGTCAACACTTATAACTTATCGAGAAAACGTCGTCACCATAACAATACATCCTGGCCACACTTAACGTGCAATTTCTTAACACTTATCGAAAAGCGTCGTTGCCATAGCAATACACCTGGCCACACTTAACGTGTCAACCCTTGTACCTTATCGAGAAAACGTCGTCACCATAACAATATATCCTGGCCACACTTAACGTGCAATTCCTTAACACTTATCAAGAAGTATCGTCACCATTGCAATACACCCTGGCTATACTTAACGTGTAATTCCTTTACAACTTAATGAAAAGCGTCGGCACCATAGCAATACATCCTGGCTACACGAACCGTCCCATTCCTTATAACCTATCTCGAAAACGCCGATACCATAGCAATATATCCCGACTGCGTCAGCAATACATCCTGAATAAACTTAATGTGCCATCCCTAATAACTTATCGCGAAAACGTCGTCAGCATAGCAATACAGCAATACATCCTGAATAAACTTAATGTGCCATCCCTAAGAACTTATCGAGAAAACGTCGTCAGCATAGCAATACAGCAATACATCCTGACTAAACTTAAGGTACCATTCCTTATAACTTATCGAGAAAACGTCGTCACCATAACAATATATCCTGGCCACACTTAACGTGCAATTCCTTAACACTTATCATTGCAACACATCCCGGCTTAATTTAATGTGTCATCCCTAATAACTTATCGAGAAAAAGTCGTCATCATAGCAAGCGATGAAATCGACAAGGTTAAACATCTTGATGAAATGTGAATCTGTTATAAGATCGCAAAGATACACTCGTGGAATAGCATGGGACTGAATATAACAAACTGATAAGATATATATTTTAAAAAATTCTGCCAAATTTCTATTTCTTAAGAATATTTTTTAATTAATAATTGCACTTACCTTTAGTTTGCGGATTTGCATTCGATGCCATGACATCAATTACTTCGTACTTTCATATGAAATAACAGTACTCGAATTGTCTTTGTGTACAAAAGATACAGCGTTTGAATAGCACGTATCTGGCTGCTACTTCTGTCACTAAGTATTGTAGTACAACTAATACATCACATTCTGAAACACTGTTCTGTTGCTGGGTTTTTATTAGCAAGTAGATGGTGTATAACAGGTACATGTATGTATTATCGTCGGATGTCCTCGCGTGACACATCAACATAGTTATCAATCCACACGACAGCTGGGATACCATAACAGAAGTCTGGTAACTTGTTTAACACAAATTACCTTGCGATTAATCGGAATAATGATCTCTCAATGTTCAGCTGGCCAAGTAACAATTGTAATAATTCAAATTTTATAGACTATTCATAAGCATATTTTGAGATGGTTCAGTGAACATTGCGATGTGTGAAAAATAGCAGAAGCGAAATGGTGTGCATACAATCCTTTATTGTTTACGACAAAGTTCATTTTAGCTGCACCAGAAATTTTCACTCTCAAATTATCATACAAACTTTTTTCTGAATAATTCCGTCTTGTAACGATCACTCTTAAGAAAGAGGTTTGTCATATATGAATGGCAATTTGTGTTCCTTGGAAAAATATCTGGGTTTTAATTAAATTATTGTTTTTTGTTATCAATATATTTCACACTGTCTACTGCATCAAATTGTATGCTCGATGGTTTCAAATGTGGAATAGGAACCACTTATCACTGTGAAGTATTTTCTTTGCCTCTGTTTGTGTCAAGATTTAATCATGTCTTTTTGTTAAATTCTTAATTTCTGCAGTTAACTTTGAGTAATACTATGTGTTCACTTCCATTGTACTGTACAATGTATAGGCTTTACTTAACCAATTTCAACATTGAAAAACTAAAGTAGAAAAAAATGTTCGAATATAGCATGTACGCACTTTAGGTAAGAAACCATGCATTCAGGCAAAGGAGGGGTGCCAATTTGGGTCTTCTGGTAGCTATCACAGAGGGGATCTTGGCGGCCAGTACGAGATATGAGGGGGTCAACTGGGGGACCAAAAATCGGAACTATAAACGAATGTTTAAAATAACAATAAGTAATATGGTCAAAAAAAGTCCATTTATGATTTTCTCCCCCACTTTACCCCATCATATTTCAGAATGGTATATAAGCTTACCTTTATTTCATGTCATATCATGACGGCATAGCCAGAAGGTATGTCTACATGCACATGTCTATGTATGTATTTCACTGTGTTTCACTGATACAAATGTGCAAATAAACTTTAGAATTTAGAATGTTGATTTTTTTGTAAAGACAACAAAATCAAACTTATCGTCAATAATCATCAGAACACCCAAATTTGCACCCGTCCTTTTCCTCTTTGGTTAAGGGGAAGATAATAATTAGATTTAAGGGGTGTTGTGACAAACTTAGTTGTTCACTCCCTTTAGAAATTTTCTCAAAAGTATAGTGAAGAAAAATTCGATGTTGTTTGATTAAGAACTATATACTGTCTTTTAAAACTAATTACATCTTATATATATATATATATTGCATATAAACGTACTTAATTTCAGGTTGGATAAGACAAACACTTTAGTGTTTACACATAGGAAGATTACAGAAAGAAGGCATAAACAAAACAAAGCCCCGGTATGGTAAGCTATGTCGTCATCGCCACATTATGTTTTTCGATGTAATGGATTTCAATTCCTCAGCAACATATTTTCATGTGTGTATATATATACTGCTTACAGAGTTATGCATATGTACATATAAGAGATAAAAAAAAATTGATGGAGGTTGCTATGGTTTCATCCATTTAATATGTCAAATTTAGTATGTAATAAATGTATAGATAGACAGATACATTTCATATATAAACAGACTCATCCGCTTCCTTTCAACATACACACAACACTCTATGTTGTGTTAGTAAAACGTGCATGTATTATCGTGAAGGAAAAGGGATACATTCCATTATAAAAAAAAGTTGCAATATCACTTTGTCATCCCACAGGAAACCTTTCTCGCGCCATGTACCTTGCATCCGATTTCAAACTGGTAATAATTATATACGTAGCATCCGCTCTGCACACACACATACACACATCAACACATCCCCCCCCTCCCGACACACACACATCAACACACCCTCACATCAACCCACACACACACCCACGCACATCAACACATCTACACACCAACACACACACATACACCAACGCACACACACCCGCACACACACACACACACACACACCGACATGATCGTTATCGCCATAATGTTATAAGTTAATCTTAATTATCATTATATACTTAATTGCTTTCAGACCCTGTAAAGTTCGCTATAACTTACATTCTTAAAAGAGATCAGGCGATTGTTTATTGAAGCTTATAAATAATGTTAATCTATATTATGATATGTAAACTAACGCTGTTTTTATACAATTACACCCGCTTACTCGAACTTGTGGGGTCCAGATCAGTAGTTCGAGAAATACATGGTATTCGACGAATCCGAGGTTCTTCAGACCTCGTCATGTTTTGATCAGGTTGGACGACAGACAGTACGAGTACTGCAAATTTCGCGGCTAGAAGATGAAAAAATAAAGTTTTATAACGATAACAACATGAAACAGGATATACAATTGCTCAACAATGAAAACATATAGCCGTTGGTATTAAGAAACGAAACAAAATAAAGAAGCTATATATATACCTGTCGTTTGGTCCACCGTATTGTTGTCTGTATTCGGCAACAATAATTTTAAAAAAATATAAAAAACGAGAGGGAATCTTCGATCATTTCAAAATGGAGCAAAAATCTTTATTATGTGTTGAATGGAAGAGGACGTTTTGAGTGTCCACATACATGACGTACACTTACTGAAAATCATCAATTTCGTTGGACAATAAATTTCGTTTACTACGTGGAAAACAAAAAAAACCACCACAAAATGTAATCCCCGCGAAAACATACATTATTTGTAAATGGTATGAAATAGATAGGAGAAAAACAGAAATCAGCGAAATATAACGTCCTTGAAACAGGCTAGTATTTAAATGAAAACCACGAAATTTTAACTCCACGAAAATAAATGACTCTACAGTACATCAAATAAATGACATATTGATTTAAACCCAAAAACCTGTCTTATATCTAGTCCAAATATATCTCATTAACAAGGAATGCATTGTGTGATAGCTAGTTTATTCTGTCCTCGTATTTTAATGCTTCATCAATACTGTGCTTGTGTGTCTACCCAATTACAGGTTCTGGCGAACACGTAAATAAAGTCCCATTAAAGAAGTCAAAACAGGTGTTGTTTAAAATATATGACAAAATACATTGATAATGAAAACTTTTGAATTCAAATTCAACAGCATGCCTGATATCTAATTAAACTCTATCTCATTAACAAGGAGTACAATGTGTGACAACCAGTTTGTTGCTGTTTTACCTTCGTATTTATTGCTTATTCAATACACTTCCTGTGTATCTATGCAATAACAGGTTCAGACAAACGTCTAAAGAAAGTTTTATTAGAAAATTAATAACCTATTCTTGATGTTAGGTATCCTCTAGTACTGTATTATATTTTAATGATTCAAGTACCTAACACATTTACTTTCATGTCGAGGCAACATATGGTGAACTATAACGTATAGACAAGCATTATTAACGTAAGTATACAGTAGGCATATCAGCTGTACATTAAAATGTGTTTCTGAACAAATGTCCATGCACGTTGTGGCCCTTGCACGTTGTGGTCCTTGCACGTTGTGGCGTTCGTTCGATATTGTTGTGCACAGTTTGTATACATCTATCAAATCATATTTTGATGTGAAAACTATTTAAATACTATTATTGGTTAAGTTTGAATAAGTAAATGAGTCATACTTTTGTTTGTTTATGTTTAACGGCCCATCGACGGCTGTGGTCATTTAGGGCCATGGTGATTTTTTATTTTTTATT